ACCGCTAGATGGCGCTCTTTCCATACGAATGCTGCAATGCTGTTTGCCATTTTGGGCGTTATGCGTGAGAATAACTGTCGGAGCAGGACAGCAAATACCTCAACTGAAATGTAAAAGAGAGACAAAGTGCGACTAATTGCTTGAATGCACTGGAAAAGTAAGCACGCTTCGCTGGATGCATAGAATTTTCTGCATGGTATTTGCCTTCTTGCCATATTTATAGTAAGCCGATAGCTTTGAAATGAAATGAAGTTATAAATACTGAGCTAATCAATAATATCAAATAAGATTTTACTATACATATATGTTCAGAGCTACATCCGTCTATCCGTCTGTCCGTATGTATGAATGCGTCGATCTCAGGAGGTATTAGAGATAGAGACTTGCAATTTTTATACCCTTTTCGTCCACAATTTGTAAAAAACGCATTTCAAGTACTAGAGACTTGTACTTTGGAATGTACACACATATGATTACGCTTTGAAAGTTTCATTAAGATGTATGACTACAAAAGAAATTATTCAACAAATAAATTCTCATAATATTGCCCACACTGCAGCGCAGCCTACGTACCGATGATACTGATGATACGTACGTGTGGATGCGTGTGTATGCATGTGTGCATAAAATAAGTGCAGAATGAGTATCTCCTGTTCAAGCAGTCTCGACTAGAACCTTCTTAGTTTTTTTTCCTAGGTCCGTGTATATCACGCGCATATCGAGCTTTTCTCTAAATATCGATAATTATTCCCGATATTTTATTATCGATTAAAAACCTTATCGAAAGCTAGTAATTTAATTATATCTCCTACACCTTGAGAGCAAGAGTCTCCAAATTTTATATGTATTTTATACAATTTCGGTTTTTGTCAAAATTTACCCCCCACCCCTATTTTCACCCCCTCACACACATATTTGTAAAAGGCGTATTTCAAATACTAGAGACTTGTGCTTTGGTAAATGCATGCATATCCATGTTATAATCATAATCTGAAGAAAGAACATCCATAAGAAAAGTTATTAGACAATTAAGTATGTGTGTGCGTGTATGTGTGCATATGCGAATAATTATTGAAATATCAATTGCTCGATGTGTTCAGGGGATCTCGTAGTCGAGCACTCTCGACTAGAGCTTTCTTACTTGTTCTTTATGGTGTATAAGATATTGGCATATCGGAAATTCAAGTTATATTTTCGTAAATAAAACATGTAAGAGTGCTCTAGTCGAGACTGCTCGATGAGGAACTCACCTGAACCCTGAGAAGAACTGATATTCCAATCATTCTACGGTTCATTTATGCACATATAACCTATTAGAATTACAAATATTTTAACAAAAACTCGTTATTAATATCCAAGGGTTTCACTGTATAATACGAAAGTGGCGAACAGTAATGCCTACCCATTTCAACTGTTGCTCTAGGGAAAACTGTTGCCGAGTAATGATGAAAAATATTTCCTATTCATATAAGAGATAGTCGCAGATGCAGCAGCAACCTCGCCAGCTAGGCATAGATCATTTTTGTGTCTATTTTTGATCAAACCGCCACCACATACACATATGCGTCTATATATAAACATATTCATATACAGAAACAAAGATACTTTAGCTATTGTATCTACTGGATACTTTTTGTTCGACTGGGTCTTGGATGCTGGGCTTCTGCCGTCTGCCGCATGCCGTCTGCCGTCTGCCGTCTGCCGTCTGCACGGTTGTCATTTTGTTTTTTGTTTTGCTCGACATGTGCAAGAAAGAGCTGGCAATACTTTCATCTGTGCTGTGCATCTTGCATATGCGTAATTGTATCTGTATCTATACATGTATATATACACATGTAACTATAACGCTTTGTTGAAAGCTACAACAATTGGGCGGGAAAATAACACAGCTTGCATGTCAAATTAATTTCATTCAATTTAAATGCAATTTGACGGCGTTTCACTCATCATGAGCGTATAACCAAGTGTATCTGTTTCTGGCAGCATGTGTCAGGCAGGTATCTACAAAGAGAAGTCCTCGGGACACTATAGAATCTCGCCCATTGTTAATGATTCAATGCGCCATGTACACCATGCTTAACTGAGCATTTAAGTTCTGATATGCATTTTGACTACCAATTAGCGAATTTATTGCGTTATACTCTGAACCCATTTAAAATGCGAGTTTAGGGTTTATTGCAAGGTTGACGAAATATCAATATATCGATATTTTTATATTATTATTTATATATTTTTATCGGGATAATTTTTTTAGCCAAATATCAAATTTTTTTTTTTTGCGATGTTTTGACATATTTTAGTTGGTCACTCTGGTGATAGGTGATAATGCAAAAGTAAAAATTGAATGATTAAAACGAACTTTAACAAGTAAGAACGTTGCAGTCGGGCGTTACCGACTGCGGAATACTCATTCACATCCCATCAACAATTTAGTAATTAAGTTTCGCTCTAATACTGTAGAATATACAGGTTTTTCCCGATTTGCCACGCCCCAACTGGGCGTAGACACCTCATTTTTGGTCAGTTTTTAGAAAGAGATAACGGTACCCTAACTGCAATGTTTGAATGCTTACCCTCCAAAAATGTGAAAATTAGAGGGTATTTTTTGATATGTCACGCCCCTAAAGAGGCGTACATATATCCGACAAAACTTTTTGGTCTTGGGTGATCAGTCCGAGTATATATACAAAATTTGAGGTCTCTGCCATCAATAGTGTCCAAAATATAGGAGAATTTAAAAAATCACTATATCTTCAGGTCCGATTTGCCACGCCCCCAATGGGCGGAGACTTATAATTTATCCTTAGACTTTATAGAATCATACCATTAGCTGACGTGCAAAATTTCAGCATTCTAGGTTTACAACTTTAGGAGATACAGTTTTATCCGATTTGCCACGCCCCCAATGGGCGGAGATATATCCGCCATAGCTCGTGATCTTGGGTGGTCAACGCGGACCTACATACCAAATTTCAGCTTTCTAGCTCTTTAACTAACATGATTTCTGGTATATCGGAAAATGCATTTTTCGATTTGCCACGCCCCTAGTGGGCGGATCGGGAAAATTGTAACACTTTATAAATCGGAGATATACACGAGTATGTGTTCCAAATTTCAAGTCTCTAGCTTCAATAGCGCCGAAATAGATTGCGTTCATACGGACAGACGGACGGACGGACAGACGGACGGACAGCAAGACGGACATTGCACAAAACCAATATACTGATTCACTTTCGTGAATGAGTATAAAAGTGGGGACAGCCAAAGTAATTTGTGCCTTAACGTATTTAAAATTAATTATATATGGCCCTGGAGTCACGTTAAATGGAATAACGCTGAATCACAAACCAGCACAAAAATATCTCGGGGTGATCCTGGACAGACGCCTTACATTCCAAAGGCATGTTACATCAGTGCAACACGCGTTCAAGGCCAAACTTGGTAAGCTATCATGGCTACTAACACCACGAAATAAGCTGTCGCTGGACAACAAAATAAAAATTTATAAAACAATATTAGCTCCTAGCTTGTTTTACGCCATTCAAATATATGGCATCGCAGCCAAATGTCATTTGAATAAACTGCGAGTATTACAAGAAAAACTTTAAGGATGATCACTGGGGCTCCGTGGTACATTAGAACAAGAAACATCGAACGCGACCTCAAAGTAACAAAAATCGGAGACAAAATACAGGAGATAGCCAAAAAATACACTGGAAGGCTAAATGCACACCCAAATAGCTTGGCCAGACGACTAGGCTCTGCAGTCAAACGCCGTAGAAATATAAGGAGAAGACTGAAACGCCACCACCCTCAAGACCTATTGGATCGGGTCTTGACCTAACACCTCCAGAATTGACAAAAATATAGCATATAATAATAATAATATGCTTTTAAGTAAATAAATTTTTGTAAATATCTATTTAGATTAAGTTACCAATTGGTAGCGGTGCGCTAAACTGTAAATAAATACATTTTATAATTTCAAAAAAAAAAAAAAAAAAAGGAAAAACAAGCACTATGACGTTTTTGAGTACCGAATACTTGAGTTAAGCGGTCTTTTTAATTTAAATAAAACATACTTATTATTATAATTATTATTATTCTTGTTTTGTTAAAAAAAAAAAAATGAAATATATTGATATATCGATTTTTTTAAAGTTGCATATCAAATATCATATTGATATTTATTAAAAACTCAAAATATCATCGAAACGATATTTTTAAAATGTTCGACAACCCTAGTTATAGGGTGGATGAATTTTAAAAAAACATGACCTATATGTAAGATCGCGGCCCATACGTTACGAAAGATAGATCCTTCAAATGTTTATCCTTTTCGATCCGCAGTACGAGTTTACCAATCTTTTTTATACCCTGAACCCATTGAAAATAGGAAATCAGGGTATAATGGTTTTGTGAAATTATGTAACAAGCAGAAGGAATCATCGTAGACCCCATAAAGGATATATATTCTTGATCAGGACGACGAGCTGAGTCGATATAGCCCTGTCCGTCTGTCTGTCTGTCCGTCTGTCAGTATGTACCATACGCAGTAAATAATTATCATATTTTTTCGTTAACTCATCCGATAACTTTTTTATCGAGAATAATCGAAAAATTGATTTTGTTTTTCAGCCTAATTTGAACACTTTTAGACATAGAGACTTCAGATATATGTGTATATACAGTTGATCGATACGAAGATTTTGTAATTTACAGATTTCGGATGCCACGCCCCCTTCGCAACCAATTTGTAATTTCAAGTACTAGAGACTTGTGCTTTGGAATGTAAATACATTTTAACCATATGATCACGCCCTGAAAGTTTTATAAAGATAGTCTATCTACAAAAGAAACTATTCAACAATTGAATTCTCATAATAATGTCCACACTGCAGCGCAGTGTACCAAAAAAGTTACAAAAGAAAATTTAGATTTTGCATATCTTCCCCATTTATTACTATTTAACCAAACACATAATGCAATTAATTACTTACTTATCGAATGTGTAACAAGTATTTAACAGTACCTTTTTAGGTTCTACAGGTGAAGGGAGGGGTTCTCGAGGGGTTTGTTCAATAGTATTCGTTGGGTTCTGGAAGTAAAAGCAATGAAAACATTTAAAACTAAAATAATAATATGCATGAATATAATAAAATAATGAAAATACAATTTTTTCCAATAAAATAGTCTATCTATATATAGATATGTTAAATTATTCTGCAATTTAAAGCATTCGAGCGTAATTTTAAATAAGTAAAAATCTTGCAATCATACAGTCTCCATCGAGTGCAAACAACATATTCACGATCCAAAATGTTTAAACAATTTTACGCTAACCAAAAAAGAAGAGAAATAGTTCTAACACTTTGAAAAAAATATCTTCTTTGATTTGTTCCCCAATATACATATATAGTTTTGGTAAGTCAATGGAGGACGTCACTTAAGTACCGCATTTTTGTTCTAGATTAAAGTACATATACGTATTAAGAATAGAACAATTTTGAAATTAAAGCGAACTATAATTATATACGATATATGGAACATTACCAAAATAATATTAATGAATAGTACATATAAAACTACTAAGACTACAGGAATTCAAAAAAAGGTTGTACTTCACGGCTACTATTAAAATAAATTTGGATGATGGACTGAGGATTACCCTAAGCCAAAAAGAAACATAACTTAGAAGCCTCAATTAGAAGATATCATTAGGAAATAAAATAATGGTAGTAGGAGCAAAAAATAAAAAATAAAAAGAAAACCCTAGTCGAGACAGGTAGACTACGAGATCCCCTGAACCCTGCAGAAAACTGATAAACACGAAGGCACATGCACACATAAATACGAATGAACCTATATTATAATAACTTATTTGTTGAAAAAACTTTTTTAGAGGGACTTCATCAAACTTGTGGAGCGTACAAATAACGTTCAAAGTTATGTTTTCGTCAAAGCATATTTGGTGTAAAGGAACGTGGTATACAAATCCATACAAAATCTTTCAATACAGGCTGACGTCGTCTTCGATATTCATACTTGCGCTTAGGGATTGCTTAGATGATATAAGAATGGTACAAAAAGTTTGCACCATGGTGTTCAAAAAAACAAATTGCAATTCATATAAAATATAATTTACACACATAAAATATAATTTACTTCCAAATTTAAAAAAAAAAAAACACCTCAATAGTTTTCACAAAAAATATGAAGTTATGTCATATTGTAGCATTTGAATTGATTGCATGTGGAAACTAATAGTGTAAGCGCTTCATCAATATCCATCAATGACTCGTTTTAAAAGGCTTCAAAAGTCATTAGACTTTCACTTAAGCTATAGCAACGTTGATTGTTGACGGCTCTTGTTATTGCCATTTAGCAATTTGTCTTTCATCATTTAAACAGTTTTATTCAAGAGAAAATTATGTTTTTGCGCTTCACTGATATGAGAGCGTGTGCTTTCCTTTTTGCTGTTTTTAATAACCTTTGTAGAATATTTAGAAATGTATATTAAAAACAAGTAAGAAGGCTATAGTCGAGACTGCGCGACTAGGAGATACCCTGAACCCTCTTAGCTGATATTGTAATCATTCTGCATTTTTATGCACACATACATACACATGCTTCCACACGCACGCATAAGCCTGTGCTCTGCTAACTGCGCAGTAAGCAGTGACTGCGCTTGGGCTGCGCTGCAGTGTGGGCAATATTATGAGAATTTATTGGTTGAATAATTTCTTTTGTAGACATAAGATCTTAATGAAACTTTCAGAGTGTAATAATAAAAATATGATGAATATGTGTGTACATTCTAAAGCACAAGTAGTAGTACTTGAAATGCGTTTTTTACAAATTGGGGGGAAAGGGGGCGTGGTATCAAAAATCTGTAAATTACAAAATTTTTGTATCGATTAACTTTATATACAACGCAAATTTGAAGACTCCAGGTCTAAAAATGTTAAAATTAGGCTGAAAAAACAATGCCGATTTTTCGATTATTCTCGATAAAAAAGTTATAGGATGAATTAATAAATAAAGCAAACTTGTACTGCGTATGGTATACACGAGTATGCATGCCAAATTTCAGCTCTCTAGCTATTATAAGTTCTGAGATCGACGCACTTATACGGACGGACGGACGGACAGACGGACAGGGCCAAATCGACTCAGCTCGTCGCCCTGATCAAGAATATATATACTTTATGGGTTCTGCCACGCCTCCTTCTGCCCGTTACATACTTTTCACAAAACCATTATACCCTGATTTCCCATTTTCAATGGGTTCAGGGTATAACAAGTAATAAATAAAAAACAAAGTGCTCCTCTTATCGACTAAGAGATACCCTGAATTTTTCGAACCGTGGTTGCGAAAAAGCTTTTCAGTTTAAGCAAAAGGAAACCATTAAAAATATTTTGATAAAGATCAGCACGAACTTTAAATTCATGTTATTAAGATATATATAACAGTAAAACAAATTTAAAACTAAACTCATAGTCATAAAATATAATAGTGAAAAATTGAAATTGGTCTCGAAAAGAACATAAAATGTCAATATATATATTTTGGCAATGTCTCTTCTATAAGGCCTTCATATAATTTAGTAAGTAATTTACAGTTTCGCCTTAATTTATGTACATGCATAATTAAGAAGCGATTTTAAGCCCAATCCAACTCAATTATTGTCTAGCAATTTAGCCAAGACCAATTAGCATATTTTTATTTGTTTATAATTTGCAACTAGTCAAATATTACGTCAGTGTAAAAACCTAGAACAGGTAAAATGTAAAACAAAAATTAACGTACATATATGCCTAGAACTTTTTCAGTTTATCTTCTATTCAAACTTAAATCGGAGCCTTCGGAATTTTATTTTATTTATGAATGAAGATAAGTTTAACATATGTGTTTGGTATTTACTTTAGACCATTCATGCCGTGAACGACTAAAGAATGTAATTCAAAGCCCCATTTGCCGCAGTATAATCTGTAAAATATACATCGTTTATTTTTTTATAAAACCCACATTTCGCCACATGGTTCATTCGCATTTATGATGACATAAGCTATACTTTGAAATATGTTTTCTGATTTTAATGAAAAAGTTTGAAATCCGCAGGCATTTTTATCAATTTTTGACGTGGCCGCTAGACAAATATTTCTAAGATGATGAGGACGTCAATATCAATAACATGTAGCCTACATACAGAGACCAAAAACAGCTTTTCTAGCAAGTCCGCACGGCCTCTAGCGCTAGGGCGTTAAAAAACCTTGCTAATCAAGATTACTGTGAAAGAAATATAGGAAAAAATATTTAAACCTTTAATCAATTAAACCTTTAATTAAACTGCTCGACTACGAGATCCCCTGAACCATTCGAGCAATAGCTATTTCAATAGCTATTTCATTTTTCACGTCTTTCTTCTTACCCAAGAAACACGCACAAACACACAGCCAAGCACACACACACGCTTAGGGGTGAGGGGGTGGATATAAGGGTGGGGGGTAAATTTTAACAAAACCCGAAATTGTATAAAATGCATATAATGAGTTATCGGATTAGTTATCGATTTTTGGTGATAAACTCGACATCCGCGCTCTATATACGGACATTTTAAAAAAAATTTGAAGTGTCTAGCTCTTATATATTCTGAAATCGACGCGTTCATACATAAGGACAGGCCCAAATCGACTCAGCTTGTCGCCCTGATCTATATATACTTTGTGGGGTCTGCCGCGCCTCCTTCTGCTTGTTACATACATTTAAAGAAAACCATTATACCCTGATTTCCCATTTTCAATGGGTTCAGGGTATAGAAATCAACACTTTACTTTAACTTTAACTGTAAATTATTATTAGATTATTGCTTATGAGAAGCAGTACATCCTTCCATAATTATAAATATAGTTTAAGCTTTTTGTACAAGTTTTCTACGTTTCTTAAATTTAGTGGACACTTGACTAACAGCTTAAATAGCAATGGGAGCTTTTAACTTACTGTCTGCCATCACAATGTTATTATTTCTGTTGTTTTTTACATGTGATAATGATCAAATTTTTTTCTCAATAATTCCATAAATTCAATTGTCAAGGACACAGATATACTAAGCAATGACAATCGTCTGTCACGAATCGACTTATCGAAATTTAATTATTTAAAAACACCAAATGAATCAACACAGCAACAGTTGGCCCTAAGCGCTGGGTCACCATAAAAATCAAGTTCTTAGAATAACGCTGGGATGTAAAACATAAACAAATCAAGCAAGAAAACTTGAGCATTCGGTGAACGACTAATCTGCGTTTTTAAATATACTACATAGTATATTAATGTATAGTCCATATCTATACAGTACAGATAGAAAAAAAGTATCTTTTAACATTTTCATTTAATTATTATTAGTCGGTTATTAGGATATTTCTTAGTCGGCCACTTCTGACTAAACTTTTCTGGTTTGTTTCCTGTTTCTGTTCTTGTGACCGGCTGGCTGTGTGACTTTTTTTTTGGGGCAATGGACAAACATATTTCGTTAATGGCTTTAACCAACGAGCGTCTCTAACCGGAAGTTTACAAAAGTTGACAACGATCATTTGTTGTTATTGTTTTAGCTGTTGTTATTCTATACTCGCAATTTTTCTTCAGCGACTCCAGTGCGACTCAGTCGGGCGCTAAGCACATTGACATATGTCTGTCAGATTCCAGCATATAAAAAAGCAGCAGAGAGGCCCACAGGGCGAGAGAGAGAGAGAGAGATAAGTTATATATATCAACATGAGCCAGCCGCAATAAAAAAACCGCTATTTACCTAGCAGCGCTTGTTAACTAAACACAAGATGCTAAACTGATAAATATCCTCTAATATATATTTAATATTATAATAATAATTAATATTAAACACATGCATATATATTTATATTTTTAACTTTGAAATACCTTTGAATAATAGAGTGCTAGATATCAAATGTTTTTGATATGATTTGATTTATACATGGTATGATTTATACATATCTCTCATTACCAATTCACCCGTCACCACTTTATAATCCAGGGTATTATAAACAAACCGAAAGCTACAAATGCACAATATGCGAAAG